GAGCTGCGTTGAAGTGTGGCAGTGGAATCCGTAATTAATGATGCAACTGCAAAAGAATTTGACACGGACAGGATGTATCCAGTCAGGATCAAACGAGATGGATTTTACGGTTTGCGCGTTTGGCGTCACCGTAACCCACGTTAGCACCGATGTGCGCAGCTGAACTGAGCTGTGTGGCAATATCTTTCAAAAAGTCTGACCGCATAATCGCTCATTCCTATCCAACGTGCAGAGGCAAAAATTACGAGAAGTAGAGAGATAGTGGGAAACCAATACTGCTAGAACGCATAAGTAGTCCAACCAATATTTTATTTGTAGACACTCATAAAACGATGTTGATTCTACTGTGTGGTATAACAGACCAATGTCATCTTTTGAACGCACTCTGTAGCCTGTGTAGACGGGTGGTGTAACTTGTTCCAGGCTTTCCTTCGCTTTTTCGATGTTTCAGCGAAGCTTAGAGCATCGTTTTGAGCGCACTCCTCACACTGTCGTCCAATGAAGGTAATTTTGGCGAATTACAGGGTGGGGGCCAAAATTATGAGGACCAAGACATTGTGTCGTTAAAAACGCATAGTAGCTTGATGGAACAAACAAACTTCAGGGAAGTGTTTGTAACTCTTATCTCAAAGTAATTCCAGAATAGAATTGAGATCTGCCCTGCCCCGTTTACACGAGCCTTCAGATGAAGGGGATGGCGCGTGCGGTGGCACGCAACTGAGGCGTGTCCAAATGTTTCCAGGCCTTCTGCTCTGCCTTCTTCAGGGAATCAAAGCTTTGTGGGGCATTTATTTGCGCTTGCATCCAGGGTGTGAAATACAGAAATCTAGAGCTATCAGGTGGAAGGTTCCATTGTAACAATTCTTCGAAAGCAACGAAACTCGAAGAATCGTTTTTGAGAAAATTTTGAGAAGAGAAATTCGGGAACAGAGAATTTTTGCTTTATTCTTGGGTGCTCGGTCCTGTAAGAAGTCCCAAGTAGACTACTCGTGTGGCTTTCTATCCACTACAGATGTGGAGTCTTTAGAGTGTCTGGCTGGGTTTTCACATCAATTTTTTCATTTTGGGTGTACGAAAGTCGACAAGGGGAGACCTAGTTTCTGCATCTGATAATTATCCTGGTGGTAACTGTAACTTTCGAGTCCCCGAATTTTCCATCTGTGGTGGTTCCAAACTTATTGAAGAGTTGAACTGTTGCCCATAAGAGCTTCCCTGATACGTTAGACTGCCGCTAGATGTAACGTGCCAGAGCCCTAGTGAGTTCAATTTGAGGACTGACTCAAAGTGAAGTAGTTATATTTCACTAGTTTTGAGAACTTCATGAAATTTGGTTTCATTAGGAAGAAGACATTGTACCCTTTCACATAGTGCACAGAAAACGAGATGAAAATGGAGCGATACGGAAAAAAGTGGATATGACTGCGCGCGCACGCGGTCCTCATAATTTTGGACCACCCTGTAGATTGCTAATCGTCCAATGTCACGAGTTCCGAAAAAATTTGTCTGTTTCAATCGGCCACAATTCGCTTGTATGTGCAGTGTCTATCCTGCTGGGTGTTACTGGTTCTTCGAAGCGTTTCAAATAGCGTTTGAATTCGAGAAAGTCGAGACGCGCTCGTGCTTACGCGTTATTTTGCCCCCCTTCACTTCAGCATGCAATTGAAGATGTGAATCCAGCGAGTGCTGCAAAATGCTGAAGCAGCGAGGATCTGTGAACACGGGCGGGAAAATTGCTGGGAATAACTTCAAAAGAACTTGAAGAGCAGACTTTTCGAGCCTGCTCGATACTAGTGGTTCAGAAGAGTGCATCGCGACTCGACGTGTATTTCGCGATGTCAAGATGAGTGCTTTTGTTATAGTGAACAATATTGTGCAGGTCTCACTCATTACATCACCCCAGGCTATTTAACAAGCAATTAAGGCTCTTGTCTAGACTTTAGCGTTTCACCTGTTTTTCAATCCATTCACATTTTGAGGATAGACTAGTAGGCGGTCAAATTTTGGAAACTGGTTTATTTTGATTCAGCGAAGCCGATTTGGATTAACTGAAATCCCCGGAACACTGTTAGTTGAGAATTTCAAGGGTGTTAAACACGAGAGACAAAAAACATAATGTGTGGCAAAAACGTAAAGCGCACTGAAAAATTACAAAGGTTGTTGAGTCAGAAACGGCGCGGTCAAAAAAGTGGGAACTTCCGAGCCCTAAGCGTAAGTCGGCCAAAGTTTGCGCACAGACCACAGGAGAAAAGAGGTGAGGGTGGAGGAGGTACCGGGAAGGGCCGATGTGAGGGGCGGTTGGACAGGAGCTAGAGAAAAATAATGGGAGGACTGTGGTAAGTTCGAAACCTACGCACGAAGGAACGGAAAGCACACGGGGGGGGGCGGAAGCCGGAACTAGAATGGGGGCGGAGGCACAGGCAGGCTTCCGCGGAATAGAATCGATAAAAATAACTTCGTATAGCATACATTAAAATAGACATCGATGTTATCGATTTCCTCAACAAAATACGTATGTCTCGCGGAAATGTGCCTAATTGGTGCTGAATGCATGTTGAAGCAACAGTACAGCACATCGTATCACTTCTATGAAGACGATGAAATACAAGTAAAGAACGCAGGAAACCTGAAAATGGAAAAAAATCAGAAGAAAATAAAGAAATTAGTCCTTAACAAATATGGTCCCTCAAAGGAGGAAAAAATTACAGTCTCATGCTTGCTGATTACATTTTCTTGAATACTAATAAATAAAAATAAATGTTCTCGAAGAATAATGGACTGTCTGTCGCGTACTCGAAATCAGATTGATGAAAGCGCGGGTGGCTGTAGGCTTGAGGCTAAAACGGTTCCAACACAACACCCACAAAGCAAGGTACGTGCGTTGCTCTGATTTCAAAAATTTGCCCCCCCCCCTTTCTTTCAAAGGGACTACTCCTGACTCCACCACATCCCACCGCTTCTGCACATGATTCGCGCTTGCGTACCATTGCATATTTGACGGGGAAAACAAATTTCGATTAGAAATCCAGCAATTTGCCTTCAAGAAGACCTTTATGCGGACCCCCCTCACCTCCACCATCAGAATTAGGGACTACCCCCCCCCCCTCCACAATTCCTGATTCATCGCCTCCTTCATGGCTGATTTTCTAAGAATTTGATTCTGACACCAGTCGACACAATAACCCACTCAGCCTACCTTTTCCTCTGAAATAGCCGTCGAGCGGGAGAAGAGGAGTGGAGGTGCTAATATGTTAATATTTCGTAAGAAATGGAAATCTTCTACTTTTCCTAGCCTCTTGCTTCGTTCCTGAAAGTTCTCCCGAAATCGTCACAAAACCCAACAAACGCGACTCCCCTGCTACCGCCACAACTCCTTCCACTTCCGAAAGTACGAACCCCTTTCTTGACCACTTTCCCATCTCCAGCTCAAAACCCGTCCTCCCCATCCCCTCCAAAAAAAAACTCGAATACGAAGGAACCGCTGAGGACTGCGCAACGCACTGTTGACCCTGCTGTAAAGTCACTCTGCTCGCGTAACAACGAAGCAACAAGGCATTAGATTATTTAGTTCTTCAATTATTGTGCAGCGCACACAACCGTACAAAGTTCAGTTACACAGAAGCTACAATTCTCCTCTCATGGCCGCACAATCAGATTAACGTGAAAACTAACGCTTGCAAATCTCGATGTTGGTAAAGTGATCCACATAAACTCAAATAGCTATGCAAACACTAACATGGATTTTCTTCTAGACAGCTGCACAAATGGCGTATTAACTGATACATTGAGAGGAACAAAGGCCTGCTCGAAAAATTGCATACGGCAACACGTGCGAAATCAGCTGTGCACGCGAAACACTAGGGAGTTTTATTCAGGGAAGGACACATTTCGCTCAAATAAACCGACAGAAATCAGAACATATCGTCTCGTACAAAAATCAAAAGTCTGATCAAAGACTCACTCAAAACTCCACCGGTGTCGAACTCGAGCTTCCAGGAGGTCCGCTGCGATGAACATGGACACATACCCATCGACCGGCTTTCTTTTGCCAGACTCTGGACTCCTGGGTTTGCCTCGTACGAGCTTCACCATTCCTATAAAAAACAGTGCTGTCTTGTTTCGTTTCACTCAGCTTGCCAGCCTCGCACTTTAAATTGTACTGAAAAATATGTTGCAGACGGAAACTCGATGCAATTAGTAGCACTGCCAGACCTCTCTAGGGGATTTGTCAACCAGTCCCACAGCCAGAAGCCAAAACAATTTTTCCGGAACACTAATATATCTGCGACATCTTCAAAAATAATACATGATCCGTTCGAAGATATTCGACACTGTGCCAGCCCTCAGTCAAATTGGTACACAATATTTCATGCCCCAAAGATACACATTATAAATTGGATGATATCGTAGGTCATGTAGGAATGCTGGATATTTGACTATCATATGCACTCATATTACTCATATACTCATATGTAACTTTACATTCATTTTTCAAAGCTTCAAAAGAAGCAAGTTCGCCGAATTATTAGCCAAAAAAAAACTTCAGTAGAACCTCTTAAAAGGCACAACGAGCAGTACCAACTTGTGAGAATGTGAAATTGCCTCAACCTTCTTGCCTACGTCTACTAAATGGGGAGCATTGTGCTAAACAATTAAACCTTGCTCTCCTGAATATATTAAGATATGTGAACCTTGAGAATTTTTGGGGCATTCCGACGTTACTTCAAGGTCAAGCTGACGCCCACGATGTATTTGAGAATTGTGAGCTATCTTTCCGGAAAATATTTGTAAAAATGCGCTGGAGCAACAAGAAGCGCTTTGGCGAAAACCCTCAAATCGCTAGGTATCCTCCTAAACTCTATGGACACCTCTATTGCACCTTTCCCAGCTTAGCCTTTCTAAGTAAAAAAGTGCGCATTTCAGATGGATTCCTCCCAAAAAGGTTCAAAATGGGGCTGCTGCACCCTGTGAGAGCATCTGCAAATATTCCAGGTTAGACATGTTCCAGTGATGGCGTTGAGTCGCTCAGAACATGCAAGAGTGACATAAACTACATGCGTGCGCTTATGAATTTTGATGTACCTTCAATGGGCAAAATCACCGCCTGAGCAACGCAGCACAATTTTAATCTATGAAAGGGAAGTCTTAAGCAATTGGCTTTCTTAAAATGCGCCACATAATTTGGTTATTCAGATTCGTGGAGATAGATATTGGGGCATGAACTGACCTAAAGAGGGAAATGCAAAGCTAGTAAATGCACAAGCCAGCGTTTTTTACGTCCTTGTAGCAGCCTGACGACCTGATATTGGTGAGGGCTGGTTAGATAGCGTTCAAAAGGTTTAGATGTTACAAAATCGAGAAGAAAACCCAGCGTAGGAATGATTCCGCCAGCACTGAGTCAGGATATACTTGGGCGCTCTGAGCTTTAGTTAGGTATTAGCAAGCATTTATCCACGACTCGACCAGAATGCGCACGTTTAGACAAAAGGCCCCATATATTGCGATAGCGCCACTTCTTTTTTCAAAATCATTCTCATTGTGTGGGATTGGACTCAGGGCCAAATTATATCTGGGTAAGTCACCTGAAGGACATTTCGAAGAGGCACAGTGGATCCGGTTATGAGATGGGCTATCTATGAGACGTCCTTTGGGCGTCTGCTGTTTTCATTCCCATTGTCTACTCGTGGCGCTATTTTCCCACGAAGCGTAGGATCTAGTTTCCTCCTCTGGGGATTAACAGAAAGAAAAGCGCATAGCACAGCTGAAAACAAAGGAGTACTTAATAAACCAGAAATTAATATGGCATAACCGCAAGGTAGTTGAACCTCAGCGCCGTTTGCAATCTAACCTTAGTTCAGGTAGATTAGAGTGGTGAAATTTGATGAAACTTCGCTCTAAAATCAATGCTTTCCAATTTTAAACCCTGCGTTGCAACGCTATGTTGAAGTCAAGAACGCTTCAGGCAATAAGAACAGTAAATAGCGCTCAAGCGAATCCACTAGAACACCAAAGTCGACAAGTGCAATCAACGAACCTGTCCATGAATTGTGTCAGTCGAACATACGCTATACAAGCACCTTCCTCACCCATCACATGCACATTCGGATTCAGCATAGTGGTGTGTAATTGACCTTTTCGTGGGTTGTTATTACCTAAATGTTCAAGGTTACTCCACGCTCAGTTAGGCCAGGAACACCATTGAGATTTGTGCGAATCTGTGTGGAAAACGCTACTACAGTAGAGCGTTGTTCTATGTCCTCTACATCAATAAATTCTCGAACAAAGTAAGAAGAACACAAGCAGAAGGAAGCGCAGCTGACGCTGTCAATTTCAAACACAGACAGCTCCTGTGTGCCTGCGTCAGCCGACCTAACAAACTGGTCACATTTTGAGGGTATCCGCAAACAGGTAATGGAGTGAGAAAAAAGAACAAAATCACTTTAGACTAATCTCACCGTAGTCGAAATAGAACCGGTGAAACTCGACACCTTCGATAAGATTTCCTAGAGCTTCTGGCTCGAAACACGTCATCGCCGGATCGCATAGCTTTCTGAAACGACGGAATTCACCATGTCACGCCAGTTTTCGCCGAGATTAGCCTACAATCGATTATGGTTACGAGGAAATGCGCATTTAAAATGGGCTGTGGTGTCCTAATTGTCAGCAAGGTTGCACAATTGCATGCATGTTTCGTGCAATTACGATGCATAGCAGTTGTCATCAAGTCAAAATTGCGATACCGTAACCACCAAGTCATGTAAATAACGACTAGAATTTCAACAGGGAGTTTCATCGATCATCACATCAAACCAGAACAATCGATTGTCAGCTAATGATTCCGCAATCTAAAGCTTACGTGTATACATCGAAATCCTTGCATGAAGATAGCGTCGAGCAGCTGTTGCGTCACCCGTACGATTTCCTGTTTCTGAGCTGAAATCGACAACAACGTACACTGAATCAATATGAATTCGTTAGAGATTCTGAATGAGATTCATGAAAAATTCTTGTCACTACAACTAAGATGCACACACCATGCGTTACAGAGTGAAAAAACGGCGTCCACCTTGTCGTGATTGACAAACACATATACAAATTAATTTTTGCCCAATACAATGGCAATTTGATTCGGAGGGTATAACTGATAGCTCTCACTTCATTTCTAATCGATATCTCAACAATTTTCCGAATCAAGGGCATTATTCAAGCTCTAAACCAGCTAGAGAAGACCTCATACATAGTTCCAACATATTTCCCGTCATTAGTCGATACTGATTGACCCTCGGATGGATAAATGAGGCCTTATGACAGAAGAGCAAAATCCCTGCATGCTCGTGGGTGAAGAAGTGAGCAGGAGATCACCACCGACCAGAAATTAGGGTAAAAGGTTACTTCTTGTCAACCTATGTCTCGACTGGGCTACTTGGGAAACCAGGTTTTTGGAGAATTTCAAAATACATGTTCTTTGTGTGCAAACATGAAAGCTGCGCTGTGTTGACGTCATGACCATAAAAGTCGGAGTTTTAGTGCCTCTTCGAGCGCGATGCGTAAACACATAGACAGCGTTTTCTATTGGGCATCAGCATGCTCCATTTTTTTCCTTTCATAGACTATGACTACACTCAATGAAAAACGGCGACCAGTTAGCGTGTCATAGCTCAGACCCTTTCCCCTTAACGCTCCGAGAGGATATAATGCGATGGGATCTGCTCAAATTACCACAACAACAATCTCGACTGACAGCCTCAGGAAAGCTCTCGCTTAGACTATGGAAAAGTCAAGCGCTGCTTCCTCTGTGAATGCAATCCTGTTTGGGAAAAACAGAAACCGAAGGGAGACACTAGGGGACAAGGGATGCATAACGCGCAAGTAAAAGTACAGCTAAAAAGCCTCACCGGCAAAAAAGGATAAACACTATAGCTTAAAAGACGACAATCGAGAAGAATACCTATACTCATCGTTGCCTTGAGGCCGTTGTTCGCATCTCATAAAAGCGGAACAGTGGCGGCGTCGAGTGGCGAGAGTGGGGTACCAATGAATGGCGACGAAATTCGCGAAGAGCTTAGAGGAGGAGGAACGGCTGCGCCGGCCGCAGCGAGTGGGAAAAGATGGAATATGGTGTGAACCCGAAAGAAACAGCAGGGTCAGGTGTCGCGCTGGGTGAATAA